GAAGGCCGACGCTGCGTTCGCCGCTATCAGTCCGAGACTGCTATCTGTGCAAGACTGCTGCTGTAATTAGACTTTCCCTTTACCGGGCACAGGTTCGCCCAAATAAACAGTTAAATCCCAACATGAAGTTTCCTGTCTTTGGCCACGTCACGACCCCGTGACATCTGGTGGAGGTGCTGCTTCGTTCATGTACCGGACGCGTATGAGGAGCTCTTGTTTCTGGGACACGTTATCAGCAAGTCTGGAGTTCGTCCCGATCCACGGAAAACAGCCGCCATCGCCGACTTCCCGCCGCCCACTGACAAGAAGGCCGTGCGCCGATTTCTGGGCCTGTGCGCCTATTATAGGCGGTTCGTGAAAGACTTCGCCCGCATCGCCGATCCTCTCACTAACCTTACCAAGGCCGACGTGGAGTTCAAGTGGGAAACGCCACAGGAACACGCTTTCCAGGAGCTTAAACATCGCCTCCAGATGCCTCCGTTACTTGCCCATTTCGACGAATTCGCCGAGACAGAAATACATCCTGACGCAAGCAGCGTAGGTCTTGGCGCCGTTCTTGTGCAGAGGGCTGACGGACTTGAAAGGGTTATTAGTTACGCCCGCCGATCGCTATCCAAAGCAGAAGCAAATTATTCCACAACAGAAAAGGAGTGCCTCGCCATCATCTGGGCTACGTCGAAATTTCGCCCCTACCTCTACGGCAGGCCCTTCAAAGTTGTGAGCGACCACCACGCCTTGTGTTGGCTAGCCACCTTGAAGGACCCTTCAGGTCGCCTCGCACGATGGAGCCTGAGACTTCAAAAGTATGACATTACTGTCATTTACAAGTCCGGCAAAAAACACTCTGACGCCGACTGTCTCTCTCGTGCGCCTGTCGACCAACCGCTACCCGACGACCCGGATGACGAGTACTTCTTGGGAACGATAACTACGGACGACTTCGCTGAACGACAGCGGGCCGACCCGGAACTTAAGGCCCTAATAGAATACCTCGAAGGCAGGACCGCCGAAGTCCCGAAGGTATTCAAGCGCGCACTTGCGTCGTTCTTTCTACGAAACGGTCTTCTACAAAAGAAAAACTTTTCACCGCTTCGAGCTAAGTACCTCCTTGTGGTGCCTTCAGCTCTGCGACCAGAACTCCTGCAGGCCCTGCACGACGATCCGACGGCAGGGCACCTCGGTGTTTCTCGCACGCTCGCGAAGATACAAGAAAGGTACTACTGGCCACGTCTTACCACCGACGTCACTCGTTATGTGAGGACATGCCGGGACTGTCAGCGACACAAGACACCGCCGACAAGGCCAGCGGGACTTCTGCAGCCAATTGATTCACCTTGCCGACCTTTCCAGCAGATTGGTATGGACCTACTGGGGCCGTTCCCGACGTCGACTTTCGGAGACAAGTGGATCGTGGTAGCTACCGACTACCTCACCCGCTACGCCGAGACAAAAGCCCTGCCAAAAGGCAGTGCATCCGAGGTAGCTAAGTTCTTCGTCGAAAATATCGTCCTACGTTACGGCGCCCCGGAGGTCCTTATCACCGACAGAGGAACGGCATTCACTGCCGACTTAACTCAAGCGATCTTGGCATACAGCCAAACAAACCACCACCGGACGACAGCGTACCACCCACAGACCAACGGCCTCACCGAGCGGCTTAACAAGACGATCGCCAACATGCTGTCAATGTACGTCGATGTCGAACACAACACGTGAGACGCCATTCTTCCGTATGTGACCTTCGCATACAACACGGCGGTGCAGGAGATGACGCAGATATCTCCATACAAATTGGTCTACGGAAGGAGCCCGGCAATGACGCTCGATGCCATGTTACCCAACGTCACCGACGAAGAAAACCTCGATGTGAGCGAGTACCTTCAACGCGCCGAAGAAGCCCGACAACTTGCGCGTCTCCGTATCAAGAATCAACAGACGACCGACAGCCACCGTTACAACCTTCGACGACGCTTCGTGGAATACCAGCCCGGTGAACGTGTTTGGGTGTGGACGCCGATACGCCAACGTGGACTAAGTGAAAAGCTTCTGCGACGGGTACTTCGGACCGTACAGGGTGGTTCGACGTCTCGGCCCACTTGTTTATGAGGTTGTCCCCGACGGCATCACGAACTCTCAGCGACGCCGATCGCGACCTGAAGTCGTACATGTCGCGCGCCTCAAGCCGTTTCATGCGCGTTAACAAGCTGAAACAGTGTTTTTTTTTTATTTTATTATAGTTGTATCGTAATTTATTCATTGTACTTTCTAGCATTATTATTGTACCTTCATCTTTAGTTAAAGCATCGGGACGATGCCTTTTTTTCAGAGGGGGGCAATGCCACGTTCCATTTCCCAAGTTTTTGTTATCGTCCCAAAACACCACACCATTCTCAGCGCGAACCGCGCTTGCAGTTTTTGAGAAGGTTCCGGACTGTAGTAGATCATTTCGATAAGATCACGCCCACTGTGCGAACGGTACAGATTGTTCTGGAACCTACGCCGCCGCCAGCGATAATGCTAGAACATTCGACGGCAAGAGTATAAATGCCGACGCGCTTCGCCGCTTGTCAGTTGTTGATCGAAGGCCGACGCTGCGTTCGCCGCTATCAGTCCGAGACTGCTATCTGTGCAAGACTGCTGCTGTAATTAGACTTTCCCTTTACCGGGCACAGGTTCGCCCAAATAAACAGTTAAATCCCAACACGAAGTTTCCTGTCTTTGGCCACGTCACGACCCCGTGACAATATAACAAGGCCATTAATGCAAATTTTAAAGAAGGTCATGGCAAGCAAATGATCCCTGGAGGAGCATGGCTTCTTGGTGTTAGCAACTAGCGTCACATAATGCTGTGGTATGGCGAGTTGCTATGATGATATGGAAAAGGCAGAGATGAGAAAGCACTTTCTTTTTTTATTACAGCACAGATTAGTGGACTGCTATTGCTTCAACCAAACTTTTATACAGATCAACATCAGCAATGCTAAGCTAGTGCATGAGATCATTTCATTGATGTTCGGAGAACTTGGAGTGTGTGAAACTTGGCTGACTGCCCACTCTTGCAAACAAATAAAAAGAACAGACAGCAAAGACAAGGAAAATATAGGCAACATGAAACTGTAGGCTAGTAACTGTGACATAACTGCAAAGGAATTAAAGTGGACAAAAGCACCTCTGCAGCCCATAGGAACTGAACCTACAACCTTCAGAAAACGCATCAGATGCTCTGCCGATCGAACGGCGGTCCCTCTCCTGTCCACATTACATACAGGGCATTTCTATCTGCGTAAACCTGGGAGTGTAGCCATGACAGCGTGCGCGGAACATTTCTTTTTTTTTTTTTTTTTGCTAGTTGACATCATGCAGCAAGTGATCTAATGCAACAAAGTTAAGGAGCCTGAGCCACAAAAATTTCAGCGCTGGGGTGAGCATTCGTGCGTGCATCCAATGGGTGGGTAGCTGGGTGGGTGGGTGGGTGGGTGGGTGGGTGATTTAGTGAGAGAGTGAGTGAGTGAGTAGCGAATAATGGTAAGTTGCTCTTACCCGTGAATCCAAAATTCAGTGGCATGCAGTCTGTACTCATCATCATGTTCCTGCAAAAGAACGAATTGGCAGACTTAGTTTCACAATGACTATCAAATTGAAAGCAATTAGTGTGCCGGTAATCTATAAGTTGGAACATTAAGGACATGGATTGCTACCCGACTACACACTAAGCATCCAAAGACTTTGCCTAGTACAAGAAGAATGGCTTGCAAGAGTTAAGTGTGCCGATACCACTTTGTACACTGTCTGCAAAACTGAAGCAAGCTAGAACAATAGCAGCAAGGATGGATAGTGACACTTGGCCGCAGCCAGAAGCACTGCAAAAGCAGGCACCTATACAGATATTGCCACATTAGTTCCCCAAGCTTTGTTACCGCCCTGTTACACTGTCGGTAATTCTGAGCACACACCGTGCCTGCAGTGTTCGAGAAGCGTCAGGACTGTAGTAGATCATTTTGTTAGGATTACGCCCACTTCATGAACATTACAGATTATTTTGGAATTTACGTGGTGGCTAGCGATAACACTATAATATTCGACGGCACGTGTATAAAGGCCAACACACTTCACCTCTTGTCAGTTTATCTATGGCCGACGCTCTGTTCGTCACTATCAGTGCCAGTGGGCATTGCTATAATCTGACCTTCAGTGAACGGGCTACAAGTTCGGCCAAACAAACAGTTTCATATTGTAATTACAGTCTGCTTCCTTCGTCCACATCATGACCCCGTGACAATATTTTAAGAACTCAGAGTATGTGTTTGAAAGATGGCAACTGATCCAGTATCACCAGCACATCGATACACTGTTCAAATATCCACTCCAGCCTCAAGACTGATTTGCACTGTTACAATAGTTGAAAGAGTTTCGCTGTTTTCTTTACGCGAGAGCGTTAAAGCGCTCCCTTTACAAAAATTCCGGCATCAGTCTCATTAGTAGTGAGTGAAAAATCATCTCATGTGTGAGTGAAAAATCAGAACGATGCAAATAAAATCAATAATAAATAATCCTGGGGAACCTGAGTTATTTGTGTGGCAAGCAGATGTCCCATCACACGGCCATGCGTCTGCTTGTGAATACATTGAAAATAACTTCCTCTGCTTAGAAATGCAGCAAAAGTGACACATGCTTCACAACGCGGCATAAAATAATGCAGTAATAATACGTGGTATGAGCGCCTGTTGCAATATGGCATCAGGACATGTGATTATTATAACAACTTCATGGTGTAAAGCCGGTAGCCCCCTACAAAAGGCACACACACTACTGCACCTATTCCCTTAAAGCCACATAGTGGGTGCATAGCAAGTTCGAAAAAGTTTCATGCATTAAGTGTTTGAAGTACACAGAGGGAACACAAGATCGCTATCAGGTTCAACTCTTAAAGGCAAAGCTTTAGGGTCCCCTAATCTTTTTTTCTAATATTTCTTTCTACTAGCACTATATCAAAAACTCACCGAATGTTTTCAGCTCCCGAAGTACATGTGGTTGCACGGGTCCCTTCCGATGGCCCTGAGCCACCACCAATCAGGGTTGTGATACCACCAGCAATCGCCTGCTCAACCAGTTGAGGGCATACATAGTGCACGTGCGTGTCTATGGCACCAGCTGTTACGATGAGGCCCTCACCGGCCACAACTTCTGTGCTGCACCCTATGATGAGCTTTGGGTCGACTCCCGCCATTATGTCCGGGTTCCCTGCTTTCCCGATGCCAACAATCTCATTTCCCTGCATTAATGACGTGAAAGGCATGCAGAATGAGTAAAAAACGAAGCTCGGTAGATGAAGCACTTACAAACTAATCTTTTCTTTGTAAACGTATAATTCAATTACAATAGTCTCATACTGAAATGAAAAAATTTTGGTTTAAGTATATTTTTGCACATATTCTTGTTTTGAGCATCTTCAGCTTGTGTCATATCAGCATAATTTTGACTCAAACACTTACCTTAAGTGCCCGTAACCTTTAGCAGCTATACTTGTAGCAACACAGTTTGGTTATTGCAAACAATTGCCCACAGCCGTTGTTATACTCCAAGAACAATGTCGTGTTTCAATCCATAAGTGCTGCACACTTTTACTCAGCATGGCTAACTCAAATTTAAGCGAGCATTCTTGAGTATTGAAAAATCAAACTTGACATATAATCAATTCGAACATCAGGAAAAAAATTGGGGTTCCAGTACCGAAATTTCTGGATGACAAAGACCTTGGAACGCTTTGTCACAATGGAATGCACAAGCAGAAGTCACTCATTTCTGTGCAGGCACGAGTAGTCACATAATGTACTGAAAACTGCCTAATCAAGGAGGCTACTGCCATTTCTATGTACTGCCATTTTTCTTCTGAAGCTTGACCGTTAACTGAAATATTCCATTCAGGATATGCTTTTCTGTGGAAAAAAATTCACAGCATATCTACAGGGTTAATGATGATGTGTGGGGCAAAGCTTCGAAGGCTTTTATCAGTAAACCATGAATCGTCCATCCATCCACACCTGCTGAGTGAGTCATCGAACTAGGTGGTCCCATACCACGATGAGCTATGAGAGAGAGACCCACGACTTTGGGAGCTTCACCCTTTAAAACAGCATCGAGCAATAGCCGAAAACTACAATACTGAGGAGCACGTAATTCCGCAGCTAATGAAGCTTTTAACCTCATGACTCGTGAATTAATGTGCAATTAGTTAATGCAGACTTGTTGATGAAGAAAGAAACTTGAACTTGCCTCGCCTCCTTCACAGAATGCAATGCCGTGCTGCAGAAAAAAGAACTTCACAAAACTTTGCGAAGCGCTCATCACCAATTATCTTTATTGATTTGTAGTTAACAAACTAATCTCAGAGCATGTTAATCATTATAAGTACTATGTACTAAATGCATCAATAATAAATCATTAACCATACATTTTAGTGGGTGTTTACATGTATGTACATGCACACACGTGTTTGTGCGTCTTTAACTGCATTTGTAGATTTTTCTTAGAATTTGGGGTATTGAGGAAATGTTTCCCCATTTTAGAAATTTTTTATTTAAAATGACTGCTTCAATTTACCATTTCCTTTCATAAATAGACAAAAAAATTTTTTTCAATAATTTTCAACAGTTTGCTATAATTCATTATGCATGTTTTTGGAGCATTGCTTTTCCACTCCTTAAAAAGCAAAGCCATATGTTTGTTATATTCATAAACATATAGGTATAACATAGTTATATATAGGTATAACATATATATAGGTGTAACATATATATATAGGTATAACATATATATATAACATAGTGAACTGAGCGTCAGATGTTAGTGATGAATTGCCAGTAACACCGAGAAATAATGTAAGAATAGGTGAATCGAGAATATAGTTTATTTATTTATTTACAAATACTGCTGTCCCATGCCTGGGACATTGCAGGAGCGGGTACAGAAAAATCAACGAAAGCACAGAAACAAACAATAGTGCGCACAAATTTATGTGACTAACACATAAAATTTTTCCCGAACTCTACAGTGTTCATTCTACGCAATGCACCATCAAGCTTGTTCCAAACTTCCACCACACGTGGAAAAAAAGAGAATTTGAAACAATCCAAACGAGACCTGAAGGGTACAAGGTTCAAAGCGTCTGTACTACGTGTTGTACGCGCTGGTATATCAGCGAAAGATAAGGGCGCGTGAACGCGGGTCATTTTGTGTACAATCTTGTGCAACAAGATAATACTTTCCTGTGTACGGCGGTGTTCCAGTGAATGAAGTGACAACAAATGAGCAAGTGAAGACGGGGAGAAGTCCCGATCATAACGGTTAAAAACGAACTGTATAGCCTTATTCTGCACAGATTCTAACCTGTTTTTATCTTGCTCAAGATGAGGCGACCAAACCACAGAGGCGTACTCGAGCATCGGTCTCACTAGTGTCTTGTACGCAGTGTTATGCCAGCGAGTCCTCGTCAAACGTCCGTGCCTCTGAAACAGGCAATCTGGGTCAAGGCCAGCCCGCAGCCCGCCGGGCGCGAACAACTCCACGGCGTGAACACGCGCGGCGCATCTGTGGCCCACGTGCATTGAGTCAGCGTCGCACGTGACAGCGAGCCGGCGTCCTCATGTCTGGTGGCCTGACGCATCGCGCGGCGAACCCCATTGGAGGAGCCTGCTCTGAAGACCAGCGGCGCTTCTGATTGGACATTTTAGTTGGGCCCGGTGGAAATAAAAGAAGCCCTGCGGCGTGTCGCGATCAGCGGTTTTAGGCGAAAGGCTGACCTATGTATTAGAGAGAGGAGCTCGGCTCTTCGAGTCTCTGCCGGCCCCAGTGCCGAAATTGTAACGCCTCTGTATATATGCTGTACATAAACCTTGTTTAACTCACCGTCGTCTCGTCCGCTCGTCTCCTCAGCTCTGCGCAGAAGCAGTCGCGAGCTGAGAAACATACGCTACCAAACGGCTGGTGACCTTCCCGGCGGGGTCGAAAGCAGTGGCGCCTCCGGGACCGCGTCGGCGTCGCCGTCTTTCGCAACAGTGGTGGCTTCGGCGGGATCGGTCCGCCGTTTCTCAACAGTGGTGGCAGCGGTGGGATCGGCCGGCGTCAGCGACATCGATGCGGTGAGTGCCTGATGTTTTCCCCTCAGTTCACCAGACTACTCTAGCTCAGGTTGTAGTAGTTTAGAGAAAGGGCTGTGTGAAGCATTGAAGGGAGCTTTGATCGTTTCAAGCCAAGTTGAAGTGCTTTGAAACCAAAGTTAATGCGGAGGTGGTAAACACGGGAGGGTGAAAAATTGCTTGCGCGTCTTGCTAGTAGGCTTATAGTGGGTACGGCAAGTAGATTCTTAACAGGGGAAACAGCAAGAGGCTAGTGTGAACGATGGAGAACCTTAAAGTGAAGGAACTCATCGAAATTTGTGAGGAACTCGGCATTACTTTGGGCCGTGCGAAACGAAAGCAAGCGATCCTTGATATCATGAAGGATGAGGGAGTGTCGGCTGAGGAAGTCGATGAGGCCTGGGTGGATATTAAAGCACGCCGTGAGGAGGCTGAAAGGCGAGAAGTAGAAGCTCGCGAACGTGAGGAGGCTGAAAGGCGCGAAGCTCGCGAAGAAGCTGAAAGGCGCGAAGCTCGCGAACGTGAAGAAGCTGAAAGGCGCGAACGACGCGAGGAGGCCGAGAGACAGGAGCGTCTCGAGTTGAAACGACTAGAATTGGGAATCCTACAGTGTTCGCAGGCGCCTAGCGTAGCTTCTCCGACGATTCAGGTCAGCGGTTTTAGAATTCGGGACCAACTGCCACCGTTCGTAGTAGGCGAGGACATGGCGAAGTATCTCGTCAAGTTTGAACACGTCTGTGAGCGAAACGCTTTGGAGCGGTCTCTTTGGGCGCAGAACCTGTTAGCTCTTCTTCCCGGCGAAGTGTCCGACGCGATAACTTGCTTGTCGAGGGAAGCGTTTGAGAGCTATGACGAGGTTAAGGAAGTGCTCTTGAGACGTTATAAGTTGTCACCCGAGGCTTTCAGGCAAAGGTTCCGGTATGCTAAAAAGGGGAATGAGTCACACGTTGACTTCGCGTTTCGTCTTAAAGCCGATTTGATCGAATGGCTCAAGGGCGAAGGTGTTTATGACGACCGCGATAAAGTGGTGGAATGCGTTGCATTGGAGCAATTCTACCGCTGCATCGAGGAGGATGTTAAACTTTGGCTGCAGGACAAACTTGGTGAAGTACAGCTAAACAAGGCAGCAGAGTTAGCTGAGGAGTATTATACTCGCCGAAAGTTGCATAGCAGGGCAGTGCGCGTTGAAAAGGATGAAAGAAAAGAGGGCTTTTCAAAGAAACCTGATCAACGGAAACCCGCTCCGCACCGTAATTTCAAAAAGGACCCGTCTCTTACGAAGGACACTGTAGAGGAAGAGAAAACAGAAGCGGAAAAATCGAGTGAGGTTTCTAAACGACGCACTGATACCACACGGGCGTTTGAATCACGGAAGCCACTAATCTGCTACAACTGCAAAAAGGAAGGGCACATCGCGATAAACTGTAAGCAAAAGTTTGCTTTTGCAACAATTAGAGAATCGGAAAAGAACATGCGGTTGTTGGAGCCGTATATCCAAGAAATTAGTGAGAATGGGAAAGCGTGTCGAGCACTTAGAGACTCCGCGGCAACCATGGACGTTGTCCATCCTTCATTGGTGTCTCCGGATGACTTTACAGGAGAATGCGCGTGGATCAGGCAAGTCGCCGAGGAGCAGAGTGCTTGCTTACCAATCGCCACGGTTGTCATTGAAGGCCCGTTCGGTAAGCTTTGCACCGAAGCGGCTGTGTCTGCCGCGCTTCCCGATCGTTTTCCTTATCTCTTCTCCAACAACTCAGAGCAGCTTCTCAAAGAGCAGGGTAAATCGTTCTTCCCCAACTTAGCGTACATGGCCCTCACGCGATCGCAAGCGCGGAAGCTCTCGCAAGAGCTTGACCTTGTTCAAAGCGGTGAACTCTCAAGTGACCTTGTCGGCGGGTCGACGGAACCTCAGAGAGGAAACTTTCCGCATGAGTCATGTGAGCAGTCACGCGAGCGGCCCGTCGCGGGAGCGGCCGGCGCGGTATGCGCTGGGGGAGACGACGTGGCGCCATTGAGTCAGAGCGAGAGGGTTGCAACGCTCTCGCCTGTAGCGGAAAGTTGGAGCGAGCTGCCGAGAGTTGATCGAGAGACGCTCATTCGAGGGCAGAGTGAGGATCTCTCGATTGAAGCGCTAGTGGAAAGCCAAATTGAAGCGCTCGTGGAAAGCCAGAAAAACGCGGCAAAAGTGCTGTCGAAGGAGCACTACGAGAAATCGGGGAAGAAGCGCGCTTTTGAAGTTGATAATCAGGTAATGCGGCTGCAGCCACCCAAAAGGAACAAGCTTGAGGTTGATTGGGAAGGGCCCGTCAAAGTATTATCGAAGCCTTGCGATACAAATTATGAAGTGAAATTAGGAAGGCGGCCGGACAAAATTTACAACTTGATGAAACCATACGTTCAACATCAAGCGATCGTAAATCTGTTGTTGAATGCTTCAGAGGAAGAGGAAGCAGAAAGTTTGAGTTCTAGTGAGGTAATCGAAGGGGGATCGAAAGTAATCCGGGAGCAGATAAACCTAGAGCCTAGCTTAAGTGAAGGAGGACCTGAGAAAGAGGACCTGAGAAAGATTGGTTCCGAGTTTGAAGACGTGTTTTCGGACTGCCCCGGAAACACGAGGGTGATCGAACACGATATCGAGCTAAGCGGTGAGGAGCCAATCCATAGCAAGCCGTATCGTTGTTCTCCTGTGGAACGTCGCAAGTGTGAGCCGCTCTTGGTACCGCATAGGTATCGTCGCCTAAAAGTGACCGGTTACTGAGATGGAGCGTGGTACTCCGGCAGGGCAACTTTGACGTTCGCTAAAAAAAAAAAGAGAAAGCTATACGCTAATGCAGGTGCATTGAGCAGTGCGTTCCAGCTAGTAACTTCTTAACCTTTCGGTTTCTGGCTGGCGATTCGGGGCAAAATTTTGACCTCATCACGACCTGGGCTGAGCGCTCTCGTTCAGAGTGATCTCAAGGGGCCAACTTTATGTGGTATTCTAATCCGTTACGTTGTTGTACGTGGAAAAAAAAAATTGAGTTGTCATTTTAGGGGTCTTTTGTCCCACATGTGCCTCTTGATGTAGAGGGAACAAAATTCCGATAAACACGTAGATAGGTATATGTTGTACTATACTTTGTCTGGTGTTCTGTCGGGTGACCGAGGGCACTTGCTTGTGTCGTGTGTTGTCTGTTGTCGAACCGTTCTTAGCAAGTTGCAGAACCATCGACAAGTGCTGAAACCGAAAATGGTCAGAAGAGACGAGCGAAGTTGGCCAGCAAGTTGTGGCGACAAGCCAGTGGAGCGGGGATCCGTCGTCAATGATGGGATGTGTTCCCGGAACAGTCTGGAGCTGTATTCTCCCCATGGCCCTGGAGGCGAACCTGGAGGGACCTGGCGAACGAGCGCACCTGACATCCGAGCCCCGTGGAAGCAGCTCGTCTTTCCGGTGCATTGTCTGGCGGCGGGGGTGCTGTTATGCCAGCGAGTCCTCGTCAAACGTCCGTGCCTCTGAAACAGGCAATCTGGGTCAAGGCCAGCCCGCAGCCCGCCGGGCGCGAACAACTCCACGGCGTGAACACGCGCGGCGCATCTGTGGCCCACGTGCATTGAGTCAGCGTCGCACGTGACAGCGAGCCGGCGTCCTCATGTCTGGTGGCCTGACGCATCGCGCGGCGAACCCCATTGGAGGAGCCTGCTCTGAAGACCAGCGGCGCTTCTGATTGGACATTTTAGTTGGGCCCGGTGTAAATAAAAGAAGCCCTGCGGCGTGTCGCGATCAGCGGTTTTAGGCGAAAGGCTGACCTATGTGTTAGAGAGAGGAGCTCGGCTCTTCGAGTCTCTGCCGGCCCCAGTGCCGAAATTGTAACGCCTCTGTATATATGCTGTACATAAACCTTGTTTAACTCACCGTCGTCTCGTCCGCTCGTCTCCTCAGCTCTGCGCAGAAGCAGTCGCGAGCTGAGAAACATACGCTACCAAACGGCTGGTGACCTTCCCGGCGGGGTCGAAAGCAGTGGCGCCTCCGGGACCGCGTCGGCGTCGCCGTCTTTCGCAACAGTGGTGGCTTCGGCGGGATCGGTCCGCCGTTTCTCAACAGCAGTTAACTTACCATCTTTTGTCGAGTTTTTCAATCTTCGCTTTAAGTAACCAAGTTTCCTTAGAGCTTGACAAGTTATCTGATCAACATGTTTGCCCCATTTAAGGTCATGTGTAAAGGTGATGCCTAGGTATTTGAATTCACTCACATGTGCTAGGGTGGACCCATTGTAGTTATAACTGAAACTGAGAGGCTGTTTTTTATTTGAGAAAGTCATAGCTACAGTTTTCTTGTAATTTATAGGCATTTGCCACGTTGAGCTCCAATCGCAGAATAACGAGAATACGTTGTTGAGGACTGACTGGTCTTGAAAGGTAGTAATACAGTTATACAGTACACAATCATCGGCATACAGACGTATGTTTACAGGGGTTCCACAGATGACATTAACAACATCATTAATAAATATAATATACAAGAGAGGCCCTAGCACAGAGCCTAGCACAGAGCCTTTCTATGAGAAAGCATTATATTAAAAAAACTACATTTCGAAAAAGGCCAAAGTGATGCCAGCAGAAATGCTATGTCATGATATTTTGATGCAGCCACAATCACTCGTTGTGTCATACCTTGATTCCAATGTCGGCCTTCACCACGCCCAGAAGTGCATCAACAATGACAGCATTCGTAATGACAACATCGAGAACTTCCTCTGCATTGCGACCAGCTGCTTGCCCCTGGCCGTCTCGTATTACCTGTTGGTTCGTAAGCACAATTCCCTCCTTAGAACCAAGAATACACAAGAAGAAATTAAGCCCTCTACAAGCCCCTATGATTTCTAGCTCTCATAATAAACACTGTTTACACCCAGCAGCACCTTCACTTTTTTCCCTTTATATGCAGTGATGGAAGTGACTTTTTACTTTTTGGAGCATACTTTAGAGCAAAAAGGTACTGTTTTGGAGCAGAACAAATGTTAGTTTGGAGCAGCTACTGCTGCTTTAGGAGCAGATACAATATTTGCCATACACTAATTGGAGTTCAAAGCATCATCAAAGCACCTCATAAATATTAATACTATTTATTATTCAATGTTTAACAGACAACAATCAATGTCAATTTCATGAAAAAACAATTAAAAGGATGGCTGGTTGTCAAAATATGCTGTGAAATCAGTCATGTAATTAAAATACTAGCATTTTAAGTGGAATTCAAACCAAACCGAAAAAGCTGAGCACCACATTTCAGAAGTAGCCACAGTCCAACACAACTTGCCAACTGAGCAGTAGATAATTGGTACAAAATAAAAGCAATTCTGCTCATTTTCACATTTCCCAACACTAGCCTGAAAGCCAAGCTGAGAAAAAAAACAGCCAAATGAGCTCAATATGCCAGTTCTTGTCACACAAATGAGATCAAAGCTGATATTGCTGTACACTAGTAGCACATTGGGACGATAGTATACATATTCTTTTCAATTTCTTTAGGACTTATGGGCTGTATGAGCAGATTAAACAGTAAAAGTTTTCTCAATTTCTCAGTGCCAATTTCATGCAGGTTTAGAGCAATTACTACGAAAAATAGCTGTTTGGAGCAGCATCGAGCAGCATTTCTCTTTTGGAGCAGTTTGGAGCGATTGAAGCTGCACTTCCATCACTGATCTGTGAGATTAATCACAGAAAAATCTGGAAAGACTCCCAATTGATCACATTAGCAAACATACAGGGTCTGTATAAAAAGTATCGGGAACAATTTTTATAGACATGACTATGCGTCGCAGCCCTCCAACCCCACAGGCAATGGGGAGAGAGATGTTGACCTTCAAGAGGTGCCAAATGCCAGTCACCTGCAAGCACTCATTCAAGCTAGAACGTGTTTTTTGTGGACCCCAATCGAGTTGCTGGGTGCAGTTGGAAAATGCAACAAACTATTGAACAGCGATAGGACATGTAATTTTGTGTTGGACTGGGGAAAAGAAGGTACAAGGGCGTTGGACATTATTCACCAAGTGTTAAAAAAAGATGAAAGCATAACACAAACCGCAGTTTTTAAATGACACAAGGTCAATAGGGTAAGGCCAGCCTTTGCCGAAAACTGAAAATTACATTGTGACAATGCAACCAGCAGCACCTGCTCCAAGGTCTGCAACTAGCTCGTGATTAGCAGCACTGCAACGATTCCCCAACCCACTTACAATCTTGACTTGGCATCAGGAGATCATTTGTTTATCGACGATTTTTCACAACGGTGCAAGGGTGTGGCCATGTTTGATCAGGTGATTGTAACTGGCCTTTGGCGAGCAATTGGCCTGTAGCCATGCTACACAGACTGGCTGCAGCAGGGTGTAAGCAACTCGCATGCTTGCGCAGCTAAACATAGTTCGATACTTGATCGCCTAAAGATTGACAAGGTTGAGACGTTTGCGCTTGTTTGGCGCATACTACGCCACAGAAATAAGCGATATATTTACTCCACTTCACACTTATCAGTGTATGCCATTAGTTGTTAGTTTAGCAACTGCCAGTATCTGTGGTTATGAGCCATCATGGCAGCACCCACGTGGAGGTGACCACACACTTCTATCCGAACTCACATTTGCTGCTCGCCCATGCACTACCTTCACAGCAATAAATTAATGGTGAACTCAGCTATCCCTCTGCATCAACTCATGCTGAGGCAACTCATCAATTCTGTTTTGTCGTCTTTATTATTGAGATCAGCTGTGTTTGTTTGTTTCTAGCTATAGATGCTAAGCCTTCTCTCTGAAGGCTTGAAAGTATATCTTGGAAACACTGCAAAATCCTGATCAAGAAGCATTGCTCTTGAAGCTGCACGAAACAAATACAAAGCAAATAAAAGAGTAGTTCTCGGATTCATGAGCCACACAGCAGTCGACGACAATGCGACAAATTCAAGATAGAAGGAAACCACATCTGCAGGTGCCTCTTTGGCACTGCCATCTGCTTCCGTTTACTTGCCTAATGCGTCTGCACAGACACTGTGGGGACGTCGAGCAGTTAATACAGCGCAAATGGCGACATATTGAGCAGCGCTGCCAAGGGCCACATTCTGGGATTGAAAGGCCCGGTGCCAGAGGCACCATGTCAATTTAATTGTGCAAACCAGCTACGATAAATCATCTGCAACAATAAGTAAAATCCTCCCTCAGAGGACACCATATAGCGCTGTCAAAGAAGCATGTATATGTGTCTTCAAGGACCTTCCAGAATCTGCCGATTAACGAACCTACGAGTCTTCAAAAAGCTGTAGGCAAAAATTTCTTCACACTCAAGGGATGTAGTTTCATGTCTTTTAAAGCATTATATCAATATCTTTACAAAATCTAAATCAGACAAACAAAAATCTGTTTGTGCAATTCGGACAAAAGCTTCTCCACTGTATGCAACGACAGTGATGTCATTCTCCCCGTCAAACCCAAACATGTGCGCCATTAGCAGCGCCATCAGTGAAGTCGTTTATTCAGTTACAGCCATGCCACCAAGCTCGCACTTAGCAGTTTAAACTTACAACTTCAACACATGTAGGCCATGGGTCGTATGAACTCCCAAGCATCAGACGACTTTCAAAAAACAGCGCCCATAGCAGAAACATAAGGGAACTCATGTTCACTGGGCCAATGCTGCAGTCCAAACACGAGTACAGACCCTGGTGGTCAAGTGCAAGCAGCAACTGCGTACCAAGGATCTGGCAGCCTGCCAAGCCGTGATAAATCACGAAGCAGAACCCGAGCACCAATGGCGGGTCAATGCTGCTCACCATGACGCCCAGATAACTCAAGAGCAAGCAACAACGGTGGTCCGAGGAAGCAAGAGTGCGGAGAGCAGAGAAGGATCAATTTGGAAATGGCAGGAACGCGTTTGCCAGGAGATTAACCCACTGCTAAACACCAGAGCTGCACATTCCAGATTCGCTGCTTAACCATCTGCATAGAGTGCTTGAAGGTGATTTTTTTGCTAAACTTCTCCCCATACTTCTTCTACAAATCCTGTAGATCAAAATCTAACATTTGTATTTCTGGCTTACAACTATAGGGCACTTCACCAGGGGTTGTAGACTATTCCTTCTATATCGCTTCTGCCACTTTGCGGGATTTCGGGGAACTCATTTGCAAGATTCTGTGTCCATGCACTTTAAACTGTTCACTGACTTTCCCTAGTGCTGCCAAATGCTGGCATTCTGGTTAGGCTAATTGGTAAAACAGCAGCTAGAAAGGCATCAGTCTCGTGTTCAATTCTTGGACCAGGACGAATTTTCTTCATCTAAGAAAATTTATTTTCTGAGAAATCATTATGGATATTCTTGTATCATTGTGGTAAAAATAGGTGGTTGTCTATTATCCCTTTCATAACGATTATGCCAACTTATGAGATTCCACATAACACATTTGCCATTATTTTTATTCATAATCAGAAGCAAATAAATCCACATACGAACTGTCGCATTGTCGGCCCTATATCAAAATCAGTTTGACAAGTTGGAATGAAATTGTTCTTAAAAAAACAATTTCCTATAGAACAATTACTATAAACAAGTCACTCAAGACAACCCTTTTTGTTTTTTGGCTAACCGGCAAATGCAGTGACCATCTGCACTCTAATAATAGTTACCGAACAAACTACACAGAGCACATTTGACTTCTTTCCTTACCTTTCCGCCACCAAACTTGACTTCATCCCCGTAATGCGTGTAGTCTTTTTCAACTTCGATCACCAGACATGTGTCTCCAAGTTTAATCTAGAGAGAACAGAGTGCACATAAATACAAAATGGCACATACACAGTGCATACACATTTCCGGGACATGACGGCAATGGCAAAAATAATTATAATTGCTATATAATTGCTATCACAATAAAAATATTTCAGTAAAACAATTACCCTGTCACCAACTGTAGGCCCGAAGCTGGCAATGTAGTCCGCCCGTGACATCTTGTGTGGTTTTGAGGCGTGCACTTGCTCCTGAAAAAATGAAAGGAGCAATTGGTACAAGATCACAGTCTTAAAGCCTCATAAAGAGTAAAGCTTGTGACAGCTTGTGCATGTTTCAAGAGCCAATACATGACTTCAAGATCACCAAGTGTGTAGTATCAGTGCTGTCAGAATAATATTTATCAAGTGCAAATAACCAACTGGAAACATTTTCGTACAGTCTTAAAAGGACACTGAATAGGAACAATCTCTTAGTTTAGATGAACAAAGTGTGTTTCTCATAATCATATGGTGGTTTTGGGATGTTAAACCCCACATATAATTATTTGATAAACAAACTGCATTCTGAAAACTCTAACGCCATATGTTTCACTATGATAAGTTCACTATTACCGGAGAAAATCAAGGTTGAAGTATCACTTTTAAATTTCCTGGAAAAATATTGTAGCGCTGACTGAAAAAGCGAAAAAGAAGAGGAGGTAGGACGCTTTCGAGCGATGGTAATTCGGCAGTGACGGTTTAGCGCTGGCATTATCAGTATAAATAAACGCATCATATCTGTAGCAGCTTTGGTGGAGCGGTGTTGGGTAAATCGCCGTACTGGATCCCGCAGCAGAAGTTCTTAGAATAAGCAGACACTTAGCTGGCCTACCCCTGGACAACGTCAGCATGAACGATGACACAGCAATCCCGTTGACGTACTACGCTGCTACATCCACCAGTGCCACCGACATGGCACAAGGTGGCCGTCGACCTTGACAACCAGACTACCTGAACCACAGATATTCTCAGGTGAAACTGACGAAAACCTGGATGCTTGGCTAAAACACCATGACAGAGTGAGCCGCTACTACGAATGGGGCCCGCTGGCGAAGCCCGTGCATGTAGTATTTTTTTTCTTTTGCCGGGACCGCTTTGTTTTGGTTTGAGAACCATGAACTTGTCCTTACCTCTTGGGATATATTTCTTGAGGTACTGAAGACCTGCTTTGGGGACACGAGTTCTATGAAAAAGAAAGCTGAGCAAACTCTGTCACGTAGGGCTCAGTTGCCTGGCGAAACGTGCACAACGTACATTGAAGAGGTATTGAAGCTTTGCGGAATCGTCAACGCAAATATGTCCGGCGAAGACAAAGTCGGCCATTTGTTAAAAGGCATCGCCAAGGACGTGTACAATTTTCTCATAATGAAAGAAAACTTGAACACTCCTTCTATTTTCAGGCAGCAGTGTCGCGCATTCGAGGCCTTGAAGACCCGGAGAATTTTACCCAAGTTCAGGCGCTAGGACAATGTTCCCACTGTTGCAAGTATGGACGTCGCCACCTGGCAAGACGTTCCCTTCCTCGTATGTCGGGTAGTTCAAGAAGAGCTCGTACGGCTTCAAGCAGGTAACGCTTACCACCAATGCTCGTTCACCACGTGCTCCGAATCACCTCCATACTGAATGCGAGAGCGCCACGTTGAAAACCGACCGCACACAGAAACTTCAGATTTCACTCCACGGCTTTCATTTTCCTCGATGGGTCGCGACCACTACAGGATGTCATCACCTCAACGTGCCCCTGCAGACCTCCGACCATTGTCAACCAGGCCTTCACCAGAAGACTACTATGCGTCATCATGAAATGTTCCTGCAGAGCACGACCTGTCTCCGCGTACTTCTGCCACCTCGGCTCCTTCTAATGTAAGCCGACAAGTCCTCGTTTGCTACACGTGCGGTCTCCCAGGGCATATTTCACACTTCTGTCCCAGCCGACCGCCTGCGCCGCCACGTTTTTCGAAATACCCGGCTCGTGTGCATGAAACACCTGTGCCGCCACGTTTTTTGATGTACCCGCCTCGTGTGCACGAAACCTGGGCCGCTCACCCGACCGACCACCGTCCTCGACAGCTATGGGCTAACAAATTCTGCAGCGAGTCCCCCGCCTCCGAGCGAGGTGCAGTCGCGAGAGGGTCAGTTTCGCCAATTCCTCCTTCTTCTGTGATGTTGATGAACAAAGTGCGTGTGTGTACAGACGGTGTAGATACTCTTGCTCTTGTAGACACTGCTGCTGCTATTTCGGTTCCGAGTCTTCGTTTCAAGCATCGTTTCTTGAGTCACTAAGTGATGTTCGTAAGGGATCGTAAAGAAACTTTTCGTGGAGTTGGAGGCGAAGCATTAAGCCCTGTTGGTATTTGCTCAGTTGTACTCACGATTGGTGGACAAAATTTCCGTGCTGAATTCACTGTACTGATTTGCACAACTCATGACATCATTTTAGAGATAGACCTCCTTCATAAATGCAACGCTACGCTTGACTGTGGAACTGGAGAGATTCTTCTACAAAGTATGTTGCCTGCTGCCATAGTTGACGATTTTCCGACTTTCCCCATCGATGCCCTTTCGTTGTCTGAAGATGTGAGGATCCCTAGTCGGACAGCAATGTTTGTTCCCGTATGCTCTTCTCAGATCCGCTCAGACCCTGCACAGGACTTGTCAAGCCCGATCATACAAACGCCATTAAGAAGAATGTGCTGGTCCCACGGTCTGTCCTTACAGCCATCGACGGATATGCTTGTTTGTGGGCGGTCAACGCAGCCTCAGAGCCTGTTATTCTACCAGCCAGATTTAAACTGGAAACGTATGAGGAGCAGGCCACAGTTGATGTCAGAATGGTCTCAGAGTCTCAAGCCATCAGTCAGACTGCGCCCAACTAGTCAGCCGAGATGAAAGGCATGATTAATAAGTCGTTGCCTTCTTCCGAGCAGGATGTCCTCGAGGAGTTGCTTACACGCTACGCGGAAGTCTTTGATTTCGCTCAAGGCCCTATCGCGTATACCCGTCAGAGAGGAAAGTGATTGCCGATCAGGTCAACCACATGCTGCAAAAAGGCGTTATTCAAGAGTCAAGCAGTCCCTGAACAGCTCCTGTTATATTGGTAAAAAAGAAACTCTTCGCAATTTTGTGTTGACTACCGCCGTCTCAACACCGTCACAAAGAAAGACGTGTATGCACTACCATGCATCGATGATGCTGTTGATTGCCAGCACTCGGCCGCATACTTTTCATCGGTCGCCCTAAGGTCTGGATACTGGCAAATACCAATGCATCCGTATGACAGAGAGAAGACTGCTTTTCGTCACGCCTGATGGGTTATTTGAATTTAACACTAAGCCGTTTAGTTTATGTAATGCGCAAGCTACCTTCGAGCGATTCATGGACACCATTCTTCACGGTCTCAAATGGGAGATATGTATGTGTTATCTCGATAATGTAATTATTTTTGGCAAGACATTCCACGAGCACAACTATCGACTTAGTGTTGTTCTAGATTATGTCAAACAAGCTCGTCTCGTTTTAAATGCAAAAAAGTGTCATTTTGGTGAGCGTCAAGCCCTTGTGCTCGGATATCTAGTGGACAGGGACGATATACGGCCAGACCCACAAAAGATCCACGCTGCCCGAAACTTCAAGCAACCAACGTCAGTGAAGAATCTCCGTAGCTTCGTGGGCCTGTGTTCTTATTTTCGCCGGTTTATCAATGACTTTGCCCAGCTTGCTCAACCTATGACAGAGTTGCTCCACAAAAACGCCCCATTCCGATGGACCGCTGAGTGTGAGGCGGCTTTCGAGCAGTTGAAGTATTTGCTTACTTCCGGGCCCCTTTTGCGCCATTTCGACCCGGAGGCACTCATGGAACTGCATACAGATGCTAGTTATATCGGTGTTGGTGCCATGCTAGTCCAGTATCACGACAGCCGCCAGCACGCCGTGGCGTATGCAAGTCGTACTTTGACTAAGGCGGAGAGGAATTATACGGTCACCGAACTGGAATGTCTTGCGATTGTTTTTTGTCGTCCAAAAGTTCAGACCTTATTTGTACGACCGGCAATTCAAGATCATCACAGATCATCATTCTCTTTGTTGGCTCGTCGGACTACGTGACCCAGCTGGCCGGTTGGCTCGTTGGGCCTTACGGCTTCAGAGAGAGAGAGAGATAAAGATGCAAGGAAAGGCAGGGAGGTTAACCAGACGCACATCCGGTTTGCTACCCTGCACTGGGGAAGGGATAAAGGGTAGAAAAGAGGTTGCAGAAAGATGAGAAGGTACACACAATCACGAGCACACTCGGGCAGCACACACAGTCTATAGGCGGTCGCTCAGGTTTGTTGACTTTAGGTAAAGTAGCAGTGCTTTAGTTGCTTTCTGCGCAACTGAGGCAGATGCCCAAGGTCCTAGTATCTTCTGCACACAAAACGGTCCGGGGTCAAGTTGATTCAAAACCATCCGGAGCTGGCATCGCTGTGCGTCGTAGCAAGCGCAGCTGCACAGGACGTGTTCGATGGTCTCTTCAGCTCCGCAGTAGTCGCATGTAGGAGTGTCTTCCATACCAATGCGAAAGGAGTACACCTTTGTAAATGCAACACCCAACCAAAGGCGGCATAACAGTGTCGCATCAGAGCGGGAAAGTTGTGATGGTAGCTTTAGCTTGAGCGAAGGATCCAGTTCATAATATTGACACCTTTGGAAGCTGGTAGACGACCAGAACGTGCGTGTGAGATCTCGAGCCAGCAGGTAAAGTTGTCTTGCTGCATCATTCCTTGATAGAGGAATCGGGACTACACGGGTTTCTTCATGGGCTGAGCGGGCAGCATCATCGGCTAATTGATTTCCGATAATACCGATATGTCCAGGCAGCCATTAATATATAATATCATGCCCTCGTGCTAGAGCTTCATGATGGCAATGTCTTATTTCTAGTACCAATTGGTCATGACTCCTCCTACGCTTGGCAGACTGCAAACTCTGAAGCGCTGCCTTCGAATCGCAGAATATGACCCATTTTCCTGGACGTTCTTGAACGAGATATTGTAAAGCAGCCCTTATAGCAGCAAGCTCTGATGCCGTAGATGTAGTCATATGCGACAACTTAAACTTGATTGTCATTGCTGCAGCCGGAATTACAGCGGCACCTGATGAGCTGCTGGACGAGACGGACCCATCAGTGTATATCTGCGTTCGGTCTAAGTACAACTCATGTAATAATAGCAGTGTTGCTTGCTTCAATGCTACTCTGGAGTGATTGCTTTTCTTTTTGATTCCCGGAATTTGTAGACGTACTTGCGGCTGGTCGAGGCACCACAAAGGACATGCCATTCTCGCAGCTGGCGTATATCCTGATGGAATGCTGTTTAGGTGCTTGGCTATGACGTCTGAAAACGTAGCACGTGGTCTTCCGGAAGGTAGAAGAGCCAAGTGGTGGTCGGGGACACGGCTAGCATGTCGAATGTGCGCTCTGAGGCAATCCACAACTCTATATGTCTTGACCGGATGGTCTTTGGCAAGCATGATTGTGGCATAAGTAGAAGCGCATCGGGGCAGTCCTAGGCAGATACGCAGTGCCTGACCCTGCAAACTCTCCAATGATTGAGTATTCGATTTGCAAGTGTTAGTCAGTACCGGCAAGCTGTAGCGCAATAGACCCAGAAATAGGGCCCTGTACAGCTGTAGCATGGAGGCCACAGAAGTTCCCCATGCTTTCCCGCACAAGAATTTCATTATATGCACAATAGATAGCAGTCTCTTCTTCAAGTACGCACAATGCGGGCTCCACGAAAGACTTCTGTCGATTATTATGCCCAGGAAACGATGCGTCCGTGCATATTTGACACTCTGCCCATTGATGTAAACAGCGTATAGCGTCATTGGTTTGCGTGTAAACGCCATCAACGCGCACTTCAGATTTGATATATTTAGGCCTTGTTTCTGAAGGTAGGCTGTTGTGAGGGTTGCTGCCCGCTGTATTCGTGCACGCACCTGAGGGCGAGTAACTGCAGCACTCCAGAGGCAAATATCATCGGCGTATATGGATAGGCACACCGACTTTGGCAGAACCTTCACCAGACCAATGAGGGCAACATTGAACAATGTGGGGCTTAAAACACCTCCCTGAGGTACTCCACAGTGGGTGTAATGTTGAGCAGTTGTACCCTCATATGTTTGTACAAAGAAACCCCTGCCAGTTATATAATCTTTTATCCATTGAAACATTCGTCCACCAATGCCCAATGCTGCGAGAGAAGTGAGGATGGCATCGTGAGCTACATTATCATATGCACTCTTCACGTCAAGAAAGAGTGCCACTGATATGCGCTTGCGACTTTTTTCTTGTTGAACAAATGTCGATAAGTCAAGGACACAGTCAATGGAGGAGCGGCCCCGACGAAAGCTTCAAGAATATAACTTTTCTGTGACCTACAGGAGCGGTCAATGTCACGCAGATGCCGACTGCTTATCTCGTCTTCCATCTCCGACTGTGGACGCTGATGATGATGATTTCGATAACTACCTGGCTGCAATCTCCTCGAACTTCCCAAATTTGGATGTCTTCCATCACGAGCAACAGCGTGACCCTTCGCTGAAACCAATGATCGATATGGCTAGCAGCTCTAAACGCGCCACGCCATTCGCGATTCATGACGCCCTACTATATCGCCAGTCCTCAACTTCACTATTTAAAGAGAAAAAAAAGATAAATCTAGTGGTTAGTTCACTAAGTATTACGGCTAGGTGGCGTTAGCCGTCGCCCGATCTAAAGGGTACAGCCACATCCATCCATCCATCCATCCATCCATCCAGGGCTGTAAGTAGTTGTGCTAAAACTTTCATGAAAACTCACCTGCTTTCTGTGGCCAAAACCTCTCGCTCTAACTCTCTCCATCACAAGCGGAAGGTTTCTGTTTGAGACTTCACCATCACATAAATTGTTTCCACCTCGAACGATTCTGCAACAAAAAAACTGCGAGAATTAGTTTTGAAACTTAATGCAATAAGCTTTTTGCTTGAAGACACTAACCTGGCCATCCTATATTTAAAACCAACAGACAATCAAGACGTTATTTGTAGTGTAATATCACATAAATGTTAGGAAAGCAAAGCGGACGAAAAGACAACTTGCCACGAGTGGGGATGAAACACGCAAACTTCTAATAACATGTCCGATGTTCGACCAATTGAGCGACGGCAGCAGTCATGGCTGCGAGCAGTGCTGATTAACACTCCCATGTTTAAATGAGGACATACAGCCACTAAATTGTACGGGAGGGCGACCACTGCTTCAGCTCAAGTGGTAGAGAATTTCAGTCATCATTCGAAGGTTGCGGGTGCGGTCCCTACCAGCGGAAAATTGTTTCTACATCCACTTAAATTTTTTTCACATTTATTTTATAATTACTACAAATAACACCTGCTACACTTCATTTGGCTTAATTGGTTATAATCTATATTGTGTTTACCAAAGAAAACGAACCTTTGAATTCCCCTTTTCTCTTTTAATCTTGCCCTACGTTATGTAATGCTTACCTGTCATTAGTACAGCTACATGATGTAAATTATGTAACTTATTGCATAAGTCTGGCAACACAATCAGCAATGAACAGGCTCGGATCTGTGCTGGCTTCAGAACTCTTATGGGCTTTCTAAACACCCTGGTTTGTCCGTATCAAAGAGTTGTGTGGGGTGTGCGTGTCCAGAAATTCCTAATGATCTAATCTCAAAAACGTAAAATAGAACTCTGTAGAAATCCCAGGTACAGTCTCTGGGTGCCCTCAGCCATCCCACTGAGAGGATCGCAGTAAGCAGATCACTGACACTGCAACAGGCTGACAAAAGAGAGAGGCTTTTAGCTGTTCTTGCTGTATTTTGCTTTGTATATAATAGGCAATACTACAAAAGCTAGAGGGATTTCTCCCACTGCTTGCATTCAGAGGTCAAACGTAGAAGCTCCAAAGTTTTCAACGGCTGGCTCCGTATAGCTGAAGGTACAAAGGTGCTGCTTCTTGACTGAGGATAAAAAAACAAGGTGCACCGACAAGGACGAGTGGCAACTTTCGTCGAGAACTTATAAAGGGGGCTGATCTGCCATAGAGTCCTTTTATGAACAGTTCGCTCTAGTTAGCTATTGCACAATGGGGAAATCTTAAAGCACTTGAAATTGGAGTGATTTGTTTGCATGCATTATTTGCTTACTTTGAACCAGAAATTTCCACAAGCGGGACGTTCCTGGCGTCTCCTGGTTCAAAGCGAATTGCCATGCCAGCAGGAATGTTCTGTACGAAGAAACCAGAGACACATGTTTCGTAAAAGTCTGGCAGTGTATTTGATATACCTCCTATCAGTCTCGCGAAAAGCATTTCTCCTCGTAAGCTTGTGCTGGCATGGGGGAAATGACAGACAGCATTGCTGCCATCGTATCCTCACTAGCGCTCGGCATCATGGGCCCACCACAACCAATCAATGAACATGATGTCGGAGCAAGAATGAACACTGTTGACGCATGCTTGATCCGCTGCGAAGGGCGCGGGGAGAGTGGCCCACATGGCCGCTTCCCTTTTGCATTCTTATGCTTTCCATAAATACATGTTGTGAAAGCGTAGGTGTATACGACACTCATCTTCAGACCGTAAAGGCCAGAGTTCAACCAGAGTTCGAATCCCACCGTGCCAAGAAAATTTATCATGCTTTATTTATTTATTTATTCACTCGCCCTTTAGTTTACCTCCTTTCTGCAGCTGATCACATGACATCCTTCCATTCACCCCTCTCACAAGGCTCCTCCTTTCATCCTGGTCATGAAACCTGTTTTAGCGAGCACCAAACGACACTAGTGTAGGATTCGCAAAGACATCTATGCAGTAAGAGACATCCTGGTCTGGGATCCTGGACCCAAGGTTCCACAGAACTAAATTACCATACTATGCACTACTGTTTCTTCGAGTTCCAAATCAGTAGTTGCCCAAGCTTCCTACTCACCAGTCGCATTCCGTATGCTTTCTCTCCTGTCGAATACGAGGTACTTGTTGGTCTCAATGAAAGGGTAATGACTGCCAACCTAAAAAAGGATGTACAAAATGTCCATAAATGTCAGAAAAAATACCACACTAAAGCTCCACAAAATCTCATGAGGATTATACAATACATGAAAAACAGGAAGGCCAACACAGCTGCAGTCTTATAATGTATAAATCTCAAAATTTCACAGCTTCTGCTCAAGCAAACTATATCATATGACTAGTGTTACAGTTCTACATCATGAATATGAATAAATATTTTTATTCTTATTGCCCAAGTCCACTGCAGCACTCATTCACATCAAAATATCTTTCCGAAAGTGCATCTAATCTATGAAAAATTAACTGCTTTATTGGTTAGTGTATATATTACTTGACTTGCATACCGCACAAATTTTTATATGAACACCCGTTTCTCCCTCCAAAGCAGGATTGTTTTAGCACTGTGCACCCACCTGAACATAGCCTAGCACAAAGCAGTGAAAGTCTTGTATTCCGCACAAACCCACGTAATTGTCTCTACTTTTATAGCACGTTATTCTTCTTGCAGCATTATTAGAGCGCTTTAGAAGCCTTGCGCATCCCGTGCCAGGCCCATATAGCACATTTACAAAACACAATAGAGAGCTTAGCAGGTTAGGTTCAAAAACAAGCTTTCAGATTTAGCATTGTGGGTTGAAACATTGAATTCAGTGATAGTATATTCTGTTCAACGATAGTACAGTATATACCCTGTTGGACAATATCTTATAAACATTCATCATGTGTTTCAAGCAGAAACTCTACAGTGAAAGTGCCCCGATTTCTGTTGACATGATAGCACAGCAGCATTATCATTGCCCATGCAGTTGTTATGCCACAATACTAGAAAGAAAGTCTCCCCAAGAACATGTATGCAGTACAGGCTATTCGGGTCAGCAAGGTCATATGGTGATCTTTACAAGCTTTCAAAAAGGCACTGGGATAGCATGAAGACTGTTCAGCACTTTGTACAACTAGGATATCCTGTAGTGCAACACTATGATCCCAGTTCCATGAGCATGCACCAGCCAGAACATTTAAGCAGAATGCAATTAGCATAAGAGGCATTGCACCAAGCAATTATTTCATTGCACACCTGACGTTCACTTTAACACATAGCAGCACATATTTTTTGCTCTCACTGATTTCACTGTGTTGCAATTTACTGCAAAAGTCGCCTCCCAATAAATTAGAGTTTATATAATTGCCCTGGTAAGCTATTTATCCTTCATTAATCTTTAGTGTTCAGTGTCCAATAAGCAAAAGATGCATAAAATTGATCCTGGTAGTTCAATGCACTGTCTTCAAAAGAAGTCCATTGTCACAAATGTCAGCGATTCTAGGTCTGCGCACCCCTCTGTTGCAGGAAGAATGCATTTGTATTGGGAAAGACACTTCCGGCAACAGACTCTGTGAGAACAGTGCCACCAAGACTTTTCCACACCCGCAGCGAAAGGGCACGCACGCGTTTCGAAGAAATGACCTCTAGGGGGGATGCGTACGCCCTGAAAGAATCTGGCATCTTCAGTAGTTGACATCGAATTAGCAAAAGTTCAGTCATCGAGGTTACGAGACTCGCGTAGTGACGAGCATGGTGTGTCCCGCATAGCGAATCAAATCGGCAGCAACACCAAGAACCCTCGTCATTTACCTAAGCTGGCGAGACCATCAGCGGCACCGCGTCAACTCCCCTTTGAGCCCTAAGAGCTGGCATGGTCACTACAAAACTTTTTATTTGATTATTTTTTTTCCGTTACTGTTTTTTTATTATAAACAGTTTTAAATGTCGTCTTACTGTGCAATAAGTCGCTTGAGAAGCTCCAACGTGGGAGCACACTCTTTCTTGTAATTTCTCTTTGTGTTCCTTTTAGTCTCCATCACGCAAAATTACTTTATTAACATACCACGTTGTCTATATTTGTACCTGTAGTAACTCATTTAGTAGCACCTAGTATATTTTGTAGTTGTTGTTTTTTTCATCGCACATATTTATTTTTATTTTTATTTCACCTTCCATATCTTGCTGTTGCCCTCTTTTTAATTAAACACTAGTCTGTTCCTTTCAAAAGTCCTGGTCTTCTATATCAGTTCGTCAGTCAACTTGAACATCACTACGCGTGCAAACTTGCATGGTTTGAGTAGCCTACGAAAATTTTAAATGCAGTACTTCGAGGCCTTTCATGTGTTGAAGGCTTAAGCATGATGTGTAAGCCGGCGAATTTGTCGCAACACCGTTGCTAGATCAGCGGGGCTTCACCAAAGTGTGTGGCATCCATTTAGAATAACTTCTTCTCTGACAAGAGTGTGATTACTAGTTACAAAAAAAATCACTGTAAGCAGGGTTACGTGTACATGTTAATTTTGTTGTGCGGATAATAGCGAATGTATTCATGTCCCAATAGGGGATATTCATAGTACCTAGCACTCTGGCAACACTGAGCACATCCGCCATGTTTTGTAGGGCAGTCACAGAATCGCCTGCTAACATCTCCTTAAAAATAGGCCACGAAGATGTTGAGCTGCTCTCATTTGCGGAGTTTTCAGACCGAAAAATACAGCTTTTTCTGTCGTAATCCAGCGCCGAACGGTCAGTGAACCGCACTGTGTTGCCACAAATCGATGAGAACGCAATACTGGAGTTCTGCGCTCTTTAGAACTCGTCCGGACAGGAGCTGCATGAGGTGCATAGCTTCACAAAGCCAGACAGCTGTTCTCTAGTGGCATGTGCTTCCAATCTGTGGCTAGCATTCAAGAAAACTGTTCATTGATGAGGAGATGCATTTCTTAAACTTCTCATATGACCTTACGCACCAACACATTCACATTGTATTTTCTACTGCGACTACAATAACACACTTCAGGTATCAGAATCACATTTTTTCTGTGCAACGCTGGGCTGCTTTCCTCAAATCATTTCTTTAGCCCCAAGTATCTCTACACCTTTCGCAACAGTGTGTGTTGTATATTTTAAAAATACACAAGGCATGAACTTGTGCATCAGCAGTGCGCCAGAAACCAAACAAAAAGTGATTGCGCCTTTCAACTTTATCTGCAGGAATCGAACTTTAGTTGTTTATAATGCCTTGTGGGGTAATATAGTTCAAATACTGAGTGTTGTTCTGGTTTTCTTGAATGCTATACATGAATGTTCAGTTTCCTTAACTTTCTAAAATATTGTGTTCTTTGTTTTTGCATGCCAGAGGGGCGTGCATTATCGTGTGTCACGTGCTACTGCAAACAGCATACAGACATATAAGTGTCCGGCATTCACAATCAGCGGAAAGATGAGCACGAGGATCTTCTGAACAAATATAGCCCCATCTATAGTATGGCCAGAGCACATACGCAGCTCCATAACTGAGCACTCCATGCTCGCAGAGCATACTGACCGAAGGAGGCATGCAGAAAAAAAAAAAATCAGATGGAGTAGAGCGAGGGGCAGAAGCAGCGTGCGAGGTATGTGGACATCGTACTTCGACCCACAGAGGTCGGTGCACACTGCTTTTCGAAGCCATTTGTACAGCGGTGGCAGTCTAAATTTTGTGATCCGGTCTTTTGTGGTGGGACTGATTTACTGCGGGCACACATAGCAGCATCTGTGGCACTGCTTATACACGTGTAAAAAGAAGTCTTTGTTTTTGTCGATCTGCAGCACTGACAGGCTATGTTGATGAATCATGCTCTCTCACACGCGTGCTATGTCGGCCACCTGTTTTAAAATTATCGCAAAACAAAGATAAACGGAAGTTATCGCAAAACAAAGATAAACAATCATGGCCTTCCACCGTAAATGCTGTGATATGCTACTGGTTTCGTTTTCATGCCCAACACATCATGGCAAAACGATCTTACGGGATCATTGACAAATGGCACTGTGAATTTTGAATATCACCTATAGTACTACACTCACTGAGACATTACAACTGTAGCCATGTATTCTGTGGCCAACCCCAGCTGACCATTTATGACGTGGCTACTTCACCAAGCCACATACGGCAATAGCATTTGATGGTAGCCCCTGTTCTTGTATTAAAGATAACTCAAGTTTGATTTGATTCTGTAAAAGCTTTGGCGTGGGCCTGAACTCCTCGTTTGGGGCCTTAAACTACCTACGATCTTGTTTTTAACATTTTACGGAAAGAAATCTATTGAATTCAAAATGCAGTCACGATAAATAATGCCAAACGCAGAAGTTCATTGAGTTACGGGCGTGCCGTAAAATTAAAAACAATCCCTTTTATTCTCTGGGCCTGTCGGTATTCCCAGCATCAGCTGTGATGTCACCATTCAAGTGTGTTCATGTCAGCAAGAAAAAACAGTTTGACTGCCCATAAGTACCCATACTGCCTCTCTTCCTCCTCATACGGTGAGGAGCAGCTCTTGGCCAAAAGGAGAGACTAGCCAACGAATGGAATGTGGCGAAAAAAATAGCACAGTGAGTGAGGGCTGCTTTTAGATTATGAAATGCTTGCAAGTTCGTTAATATGGCAAAGCTTTGAAAAATTATTGCTGCTACGCATTTGTTGAAGACTCATGCACAACTACAACACCAATGCTAAATTTTTACATCTGGGTAATTAAGAAGCCTTTTAAGAGGTATGAGGATCACCTCTAATTACCTGTATGGGGCGATCACTTGTGTTGACTGCACGGATAGAGTATATTGTTCGGCCCTCGTTAATTAAGATGTCAGAGTCCTGCTCCAAGGGCAAAATTTTTCCAGGCACACTGTTCAGCAGCTGGACTGTTTCTTGATCCAACTGGTCCAGCGACAAAGGTGCAACTCTTGCAAGGACGTCTGGCTGCAGATAAAGAAAGCAAAGTAGGTGGCTTTAATTTTGCTCTCCCATCTATATTCAAAAGAAGGCCAAGTTGTTTGTTCATACCATCAGACATCTACTTATGCCAATTAATGCTTGGTAACATTGCAAACTAATAAATAGTGAACGCAGAGCACCTAACACGAAATGAATTAGGAAAGATTAAGACATACTTCACATCACGCTGATGCACTTACAGTAACATACATTTTGGATCAAAAGAGAGGAGACCCTGAAATCAATCTGTTATCAGAGATTGTAGGTGATAAGCTAAACGCAGCGGAGTTGCATATGTTACTCCCATGTTTCCAGCACCTTTGCCTGCAGATAGTAAATGCTGTCCAACTTCATTCAGAAAGTGTTTCAATGCCCCATTTAACTGAAATACTGCAGAGTGCCAAAACACTGTTTTGCCATACTTGTCTCCTGTGAACAATCAAGACTGATTCAGCATTCAAAGCTCAAGACAAGGCATCACATATGGCCTCAGCGATTTCCGCACTGAATTAATGCTGATACACATGATGTCATTTGAAGGGGCCCAGCAACACCTTTTGAACATGGCCAGAAAACGCTGCGATCGGCAGTCGAGGCTCCCGAAAACACGCCAGCCAAATGATTGTAATGCAGCATGTGGCCTATAATTCACAATACATTTTCAAAGTCAGCCAAAAATTGCTTTTCCTTCTCTCAACAAATGACGAAACAAGCTGAAAAATCACTCATCACATACATTGTATCAGCCGGTGGCTGATTTCGGCATAGAGCGCTTGGTCGTTATCGGACCCGCCGTGGGAGGCCGTGACTTGTCCATTCGTGCACATGCGATTGAACTGAAAAGCTGTGTATTCGAATAAAAAAAAAGAGAGAAAAAGGGCTTAAGGTCGCAAGGCGTGCAGTGCTTCGTGACCTTTAGCACATTGTTCGTGTCGTCCCTCCCTGCTTAGCTTCTAGTGCTTTCATCATGACAAGAGATGAGAGAACGCAAGCACAGCCTGGATAAATCTCCTCTCATATACGACAGATTCTAAAAATTTCTGTGGTGGTTAATTTGTCAGCCAATGAGCTCCTTCACTAAATTCATTACATGCAGTGGCTGATCTCGAGGGGGGGCAGCAGGGGCTATCCCCCCTCTAAAAGTCTGTGTCAGCACTCCCGCCTTGTTTTAGTGCTCATAGTTAATCTCCTGTTACCAATTATTACAAATTAGTGAAACCTTTGTGAGAACACATTAACAGTACTTGTGCTATGAAGGACTTCTTTTCCTAGTAAAAAAAAAGTCATGACCACGCCACCCTCTCAGGTGTTACTTCAGGCGACCACCCTATCTAAAATTAGTGGCTGGATCTGCCCCCGATTGCATGGCTACTTGAAAAAGTGTTGCAGAGCCCCTTTATTGATGTGCAGATCTCTTTTCATGGTGGTTCTCTACATGCAGATCGAGGTGATAACCAAGTTTGCTTAGTTCATCTCTCTAATGTTGTTATCTAAGACCAGCCCTAATCGGGAAGATGTAATTTTACTGCCTCGCGCACCTTCCTTCTCATCTGCTTTACTGCTTGCATTTCACCTTCTCTACCTCGGTTGGATCACAGCCAGCAAGATAGATATGCTACCTCAGAAAAGAACACCCAAGTCTGTCCAATATCCATGGAGTCGGGGAGACCGGGGCAACAGTTATCACTACCAGAAGAGCCAGAGATAGCCCCTGCTCCCTCTTTATTTTCTTCTGAAGAAAAGAGACAGCCCCTACGAATGCAGATCAGAATGATAATCACCCTTCTTCCACACTCGTATCTGCACTTGCGCTCCCACAAAAAAGCTTTTTATAATCTGTTAATCTTTCCACGTGTGGTTCAACATCTTCTGAAGACGCATGCCTCTTCCTGCATTTGTAAAAGCTGCTGCACAAGTGGCAAGCAAAGCGAACACTGCAACGCAGGACTGCATGTGCTTAAGAGATTGATGGCCCATGGAATGACTGGTACAAGACTACAAGTGAGCAAAAGAAAGCCTCAATGAGGTCAAAAGATCAGCTAGTGAGAAACATTCTAGCTTAGGCTTGCGATTCTCACCAGATGAGCATGTGTTTACCTTGAGTAAACAGTTTTTATTGCAATGGACGCTGTATATGTTAGTTACAATCAGCTGCGCATTCCCCAAAAGGAGAGCTACACTAGAGAACTTGGGAGCTTTGTAAAAAAGTAGTATACTGCATCCATGGATGTTTTCACACCAGAGGTTAACATTTACACACACTGAACACTTACTTAATTGTAGTACTTGTCTTATGAAACTAGAAGAAAAAGCTTTTGCCAGAGAACACTAAAACCCCCAGTACAGTGTGCCAGTAGCAGACATGAAGTATAAGGTAAAAAATGACAGAAGTGTATATACCACATTACTGTATAAAATTTTTCAAGTTTTCTTTGTGAGCGCCCGCTCATTCCTGATTGGAATAGCGCACAGTGCCAACTGCAACACTTGGGGCATTAAACTTCAAAGTAGCTCCCTTCCTGATTGTCTAGCATATGATAATGAAAAGTTTTTACGTACTTTGGGCACCATTAGGGTACCTGCATGACAGGCAGTACCTGCATGACAGGCAGTATACTATTGTTGCATGCTTGACACATAATATTTTTTTATGTAATGCATTTGTATTGCACTGTTTTCCACAACTGTCTTGCTGGGCCCCCTACTGTCCCGTTTTCATGAGCCAGAATATAGGCTCTGTCCAGAAGCACGCTTTGCCTGTTTAGTTTTGGCTCATTTTGTTCGCGTGATACATTTTTCATATGTAGTATACACATCCAAACAAAGCAAACTTGAACACCCTTCTGCCATTCCAAAATACTAGTCGATATCATTCAGCGCAGCCTACCCTAGCGTTATTATTCAGCAGCCAGCTAATGCAAACTGAAGCAATTTGCACTATACTTTAGTATAGCTCAAACTGTGCAAAAATGGACGATGATGATGATTGCATGGCAGTGCACCTATCACGATTGTTAAGATTAACGTGAAATTCAAGGGAAGAAGGCAGCCATGCCATCAGTGTCTGTTCCTAACATTCGCTGCAATGAAACACAGGACTATGACTGCAGATCAAACTAAAACCAAGACAATAATGATTCATAGATTAATGAGCGAGCATTCATTGCTTGAAGGCTTTGCAAGCTGGGGACCCATTAGGTTGACTTCAGCTCTGGTCTGCCCTTACACTTCAAGATTATGGCCCGGGGTTCGTAAAGCTAGGATGTCCACGAAGAAAGGAGAGTGATATCCTGTCAACCCAGCCCTCACAGCAGCTAACAGGCACATCTGCCCAACTAGTATTTTCACTTTTGTGCTAAATGAGAGGTTGGGTAAGTTTCACGAGGCCAGGACAATGAACCTTTACTGCTATGGCACTTACCCTTCAGGTCTAGCCCTAAGAGTTACTGACTATCCACAAATTGATCCACTGTGCTTGCATGACGATAGTCAATTCAAGGGTCCTGTAGTCAGGATGCCGAAGCACTTTAATGAGAGTAATCGTGAAGGAACTACCCTTGGATCAGATGACACCACTCCAACATTGCCGACCTTGATACATAACAACTACGGACTCACAAGCATGAAGGAGAAGTGTGACGACTGGTGAGAACATAAAGCTATTCCGATGTATTCAGAAACCACTGCATAGAGCCATTGAAGAAGTCATGAAAGAAAGTGTTCTAGTACTTTCATCCTGACTATGGAAAATCAGTAAGCTCATGGAGTCACACTTATCTTTTTAACAGATGGCACAGGACTTGAATAAAATAGACTACCTAAATTTCACTATACCTCTTGAAAAACTAAAGGCACATCATCAAAAGTTGCGAAAAATTTTGAATTTCGCATCTGCGGTGCTATGTCAGAAGATGAAGTTCACCCGGAAGATTGTTGTATGCAATCACAGAATCAACAAGAAGTTGAGTGACAAGGCCTAAACTAAGATTGATTTACTCGCAGGGCAAGAGAAAATTTTTCGACAGCAACGGAGACAAGACTGTCACTTTAAGGAATATCGTTCCCAATGTAACGCACGATTAAGCAATGTAACTGTAATAACAGGCTCCAAGTATGATGCAATGATACCAGCGGAGTATGAGCTCAAAAAGATTCTAACTAACTTTATCAGTTGTGCCAAAAGTACAGTTTTAGGACCAGAGACATGCATAGCATTTACAATGGCTTCAATAGTCATGATGCACACGAAACATTTTTGTTCCAAGTGTGCTGTCATCGAAGGAAAATAGATAGATAATTGCACTTTGATGACTATATTGACAGCTTACATATGCAGCCAAACACAGTCAAACCACAACATAAAGAATACAGATTTAATGAATTACCAGTTATAACAAATTAAATTAATAGCCTTGCCATAAACATAGTGTTATGGGTAACGAGCTTTTGGATATTACAAAGCCACTTCCACATCAAATGTGACTTCATTACAGAGAGGGTTAGTGCATGAAACTACGACTGGTCAACAAAATAATGCTCCTGTGTCCTCTTTTACATACCACAATGTGGCCTCACTGGAATGGCATCTCATGTTTGTGTCTCATAACTTAGTACTAGTGCATAAAGTGTAATATGACCTAGATAAATCTCCTGAATTTTTTTGCATCTTCGTGCAATTACCTGCTTTTCATGATTTCCACAAACCATCTGAACTTCTCATATATCATACCGTAATACACGATAAGGTTTCTAATAGTCACTCATACCAGATTACACAGCACATACACCTCAAACAAACTGGGTTTTGCAATCCCACTGTATGTAAACTGTCACGGTAACTGGCACATGCAACTGCTCTATCGTTGTGGTTAATCTTGCAGGCCAGCTATCTTGCGGACGTGAGAGTAAACTAAGCTGTGAATGTTATAAGCAAGCTCCACTGTATAGCTATAAAGATTTGACACTTCCGTCATTACTATAGTGAGAAATGACAATACACTATTTCACTCACTTAGAGCACACATCTTGGAGCAGTTGCATTCGATTAATTTTTATTATATATGCCTGCACAAAGGTGAGGTTAGGCTCATCTCTTTACAGGTTCCCTAAATACAGGTGCATACAATATTGTTACGAATGTGACAGCTTCGTTGAAATTCAGAAATGAGCACTGATAAAAAGACATGGGACTGTTGGGAGCCACCAGCAGTCGGCAATCTTTCACGCCAGTTCCTTTCTGTTTCTTACGTGCTCTCGAAGAACTTTTTCCTGGGCAAGTCGGTGTGCAAGTTTGCTGAACATCTCATTTGTGGCATAAAGCTTGGAACATGAAGACGGGGAAACATTGCGTCACGAAGACAGTCTTTTTTCCTTTCTTGTCTTCATGTTTCAAGCTTTCCGCCACAAATAACATCTTCAGTTAACTTTCTTGCTTGCGGTGCGGCAATACAATATGAAGCTGCAGGGGTTACAAATGCGTCTGCAGTTAATAAACAGGCCCTTACCTTTCTCTTTTCAAACAGGGACACATCAGGAACAGGGAGAAAGCTTCCTTCCAGAGCACTTTCCAGGTCTCCATTGCGTCGGCAGATTGGAAACTCCAAATACACCTATCAAATGGCCATGAAAAGAACGATTAAAGTAAAGTACTGAGCTTTAAGTGGGTCTTCCAGATGAATTTTCGTAAGTAAAGAGAGAAAAATTTTGTTTATTTTTGTCACTTTCATATACAAAAAAATATCTGCCATATCCTGTGATAACAAGAGATGGCAGTGACTGCAAGATGAGGCTGTTGCTAATGACACAAACCAAGTTTCAGTTTAGCATTTCATTTTCACTTGCAGAAAAGTTTTCAAGAAAGTGCCAGAAAAAAATAAAACATGTTTGCATGCAACACGTAGCTGAGCGACAGCAAAATCTATAAAAGTGCTCTTGTTAAAGCGAATGATAAACTTGCTTTGAGCAATGACCTCGAGTAGAGTTTCAAGGTATCAATTACACCATGCGTGAGATAACTGTACAAATTAGGAGAGTGTCCCTTGTGTCATCATTCAACATTTTGCAGAGAAGCAAGGTACCTGCTAGAAATACTGTGGCTGATGAAGAATAAGAATTACAGGTTAGCCCTTTGTAACTGGTGGGAAGTTTGAAGCCATCCACTCGTTAAGCAATTGTCATTGTGTGAAGTTTGATGTTACTTTAAGCTTCTACCACGCTACATTATATCTGTCAACATGATTCCTTGCACGACATAACGCATGTATAGGGTCCTTTTGTGAAGGAGTTTCTAGCACTGGCGTGGCTACATAGAAGGATGCTTTTCTGCTATGCAGAGTACCAGGGTTCTAATCCCTCTCAATCATAGACATTTTCTTATAGTTTACCATAGAACTATGCCCCCAAAATCCGCTTCTAATACTGTTTAAAATGTGCATTAAAGTAGGGCAAAAACATTTTTCCGGAGGAGGAGAGGCACCTCCTTAATTTAGGGGAGAAGGAAGTTCTTTGAAATAGTGATTTTTTGCCATGTATACCAAGGCTAAAAAAAATTTCGGAGGAGGCATGGGCTTGTTGTGCCACCACCTGTCTATGCCTCTGTCGGGAGCCAATTTCGGAACCCAAATATTCAAATCTTTAGCCCCTTAAAATTTTCAACTGCCAGCAAGGATTTTCAGTCCAGATTGAATTTACCAAAGTAATGAAACAAATTACACAGTGTAAGAGCATAGCCCTCCCTTACGGTAAGACCTTACTATGCAATGTGCAGCTTACACAACACTTAATCTCGAAAATCACAACTTATGTCTGGGATGAGATTTAATGATCATATATTTACATATAGTATAGCTTACGATGGAATGCTGGTGTATAAAGTGCACTGCTCAGTGCTTCAAATAGCAATGTATGAAGCAAAAGTCAAGATACCTTGCACAGAACAGCTACTGACTTTGTTACTGAGACAATTAGTGAAAAATAATAGGTGTTGCTCACAAGCTTTGTGCCATCAGTGAATGTCGCTTCGACAGTCATTTCAGGAATCAGCTCTGGCACACCAGGCAATACTTGATTTCTGCCTGCAAGAGATAGTTAGAGACGATGTAAGAAAGTATTTCATGTAATAGGTAATCACTTACAAGCCATTCCTACTAGTAATTATCAAATCATGAGCTAGTATACTTGCAGCTTCATTATTTAAGGCTTTCAAGATGGTCAAAAGTAAATAAAACAAAAATGTGCTGGCATTCTGATAGAAACAGTAACACGCTGCAAAAACATCTGTTGTCCTACAACATCTTAAGTGCAGCCCAGCTTAGCCAGTGGTAAATCTTTGCATGTAAATAACTCTACCACTTGAGAAAATGTCAAATAGAGAAAAAAAGTACTGCCTTTTTGATGCTTGTTTGTTATAACTAGTGGCTGATAACCTCCATAACCTTAACCATGCAGGGTGCTGCTACTTTAAGCAATATTCATTATGGCATATCAAGCAGCTAATAATACTGGATTAAGTTGGGTTTATGTAACTCAGCCAAAATTACTATGCCTTCACAGTCAAATTGCAAATGCTCCCTGATAACTTTACCTTATAAAATTCTGAATCTGATGTCGATGTACTTCCACTCGAAGTTTTGTAGTCAGGATCAATTTACACAGCCCTATGAAAGCATGAGGCATAACTGTATACTTGATGATGTACTGCATACTTTGTGCAAATGGTGGTTTTCAAAGCTGGCAAAGTGACAGTGAGTATTCCCTAAGTGCACAGGATCACTAAAACTGACATAGTACATTCAAGAGGATATGTACAATAGGAACAAGACCCTCATTTTACCTAAAAGTTCTCGTCCTTTCTTTGTTGCTTCACATACAGTAAGTCCATCCCTGGCCATCTCTTGTACCTAAAAGTAATCAAACCTTACCGTTAAGATCACTTCAATGAATGCTCAATGTGGGAGCATATATGTGAAGTGAAATGAAGCATCAATTTGTGAAAGCTTCTAAAAAAAAACTGTACGACGTAGAAGAGTACTTTTGTGCAACAGTCGCATAGCCCTTTTCAAGAGAACATTTTATTATTGCGATAGGATCTATATGAACACTTTCGGCTGAATTTTGCTGTCGCCGTCATGTCACTGATATAAATATGTATGTATATATTTATAAAAGGCACGAAGAAAAAAATTCAGAAAATTTTAAGGCACCCACAAGAGATTCGAACCAGCAACCCCTCACTTTTCAGCGCACTGCATTAACCAACTTGACCGACACCGCTGATACTGTCTGCCTCACTAACGTAAATGGACTTAAACATTCTTGAACAAAGCATGTACTTTGTTAGGACAATCCATACATGCTTTCCCTAAACACTGACATGTCCGACGGCTGTGATCAAAGGAGCGGTGGGTTCACTGAGCACATACAGTTGGATTAAAGAGGCATTCCAAAATGTCGCTGGCTCCACTTCAATCTGAAACAACACGGAAAAATGCACTCGCATCATGTCCAGGACCAATGGGGAAGTTGCTGGTCCTGTCATGCATGTGACTTTTGTTCCCATCGAAATGAGCACCACCACTATCAGTTTAGACGGGCAAACTCAACTCACTGCCCCAGATGAGCTCTGGTGATACTTGGGCCATCAAAACATCGTTCGGCTTCGTTGTCGCAGCAGTGTACATCTCACCAGGAACCTTGCGGACTGACGTCATGAACTTCTTGCTGCATGACTTCCGTTTGGTGTGCCTTAAGAATGTGCTGGTGATAGTCACTGGAAACTTCATCGTTAATGTACTTTGACGTAAAAACCAGTGGCTTGTCGCGTTTCTCGATGCCGAACTTGGACTTCGCTTCCTGTTGGACGCCACGCAGTCAACTATTCACAACACCTGCTTAGATATCATGGTCACTGCATTACTGTCAATTCAAGCATAACCCAACTAAAATTGGCCAACGGCCAATAATTGGAAAACAAGTGGACAGTGCTCGTCAACCTCTATCGTCGGCCGACCAATGGTGGCACAAAGTGGGGCCCTGATTGGCAACCGGTGTCGCTTGTTATGTCGCTGCAGGCGTGCGGCCAGTGGTCGGCAAATGCTGGGGAAATTGATGGCACCCAATGCCCGGGTGACCAAACGTGGTCCATTGTAGGGCCATGCTTCCCTACCTACCACGTTTACCCGTTACTATATATGGGCTAGCCACGAGCTAGATTGCAGTAGATTATTTGCACAAGATTACTATATGCGAAGCTGCTCTTTGACTCACGTGTGTAATGCCGTACGTACGTGCATCCGTACGAACACGCCGCAACACGTTCCTCTCGCCACAGGCAGTTGGCGCGGTGCCTAGTAGGTCACGCCGCAGCTGCGCGTTTACAGTCACGCTATCCTTGCACGCTTACCTCGCAGTTTCGGCGCTGATGTCACTCCCTCACCCGTAGCGCGCTCGCCACTGCACCCACAGCTGCCAGCTCCTCCGCCCGCTCGCAACACACTTCTCTCTCCCTTCACCCTCTCCACCACCCACAACGCTCAATCGCAGTTATCTGCGATGAAACTTGCACGAAACCCAACCCGCCTCCCATGTCTTTGCGTTTCAAGCAACTCAAACAAACGTTTACTCGAATACTGAACTTCGCTTCAAACCGCTCTAGCAGCACCCGCGTCGACGCCCGTTTCAACCGGGTCAACGCCGTGCATTCATTAGCATATCGCATTCATTGATGTGGCCTTGTACCGAAACTGACTTTTTGGTTATCTTAATTAACAGTTCAGCCTATAGATAAGCACACAAAAACCACTATACCAAACTCACACTCATATACAAAGCATGTGTTTAGCACATTTGACTAATTTGATACTAAAGTTTTATGATCCGAAATCACTATATGATTATGAGACACACCTTAGTAGAAAGTGATGAATAACTTCGTCTTTTAGGCATTAATTTGCACGTGCACCTAAATCAATGTACACAGCTGCTTTGTGTAATGAAATTGAAATTTGCTTGATCAACTTGCACCAACTGACATGATGTGCACCTCCGCAATGCAACGTGAGGATGAAATGATGAAAATAAGAATGAAAGGATGGCAGTGTCACAAACGAGCGCTGGAACCAACCTAAAAGTGCGTCTAAACAGAACAGGCGCCGGCCGCTCATGCGCCGCGATTCAAGGCGCCAGCAACGGTCGCTTCTCCAGAGCGTACACCACTTCAGCTCCTCCACACACAACGCACGCGCGAAAGCGAACACCGGGCAAAGCCAGCGCAGCAGCCACCGGCGCGCATCTGTCTGCGCAGTAGAACATACTAGAAATCAACGTCCTACTCTGGATTTTTGCGAAACACGCAGCGCCACCTGTCGGCGCAGTTTTGAACAGTGTAAAGCCCGAGTCCCGACTCGCTTGCACAGTTTGCTGCGCCACCATCTGCAACTATAGCGTACGAAACAACGATTGAGCTAAATATTAGATGTATTTTAGCATTGAACGCTCAGAAAAAGAGCTACGAATTTCTATCCGCTAGTTGGACGCGTTACCAAACCGCCGTGAAGTGCTTGCTGGTTCACTCGCCTAAACGATGGCGAAAACAAGAGCAGACGCAACAGCTCTGCGCTCTACAACAAAGACTCCGGTCGACGCTACTGTTGCGTGTTCGGAAATCGCCACGAACATAGATGATTTCAGTTTTACTGATTTCCGCAGCTTTGGTGAAGCATAAGCGCGAGAGCGCTAAATACAGACCGTTGCGAACACGTTCACGTCGTGTTGGGTAAGCGAATACTCGCGTTGTCCACATCCGTTTGCTTGGGTAAGTGTGATAATGTAGGTCTTCTGCTATTGTTTCGAGTAGCCTTGACGGAGAATCGTGGCAACTTTGATTATGAAGCTTAACAGACAGGTGACGCCCGGCCGCAAAAAACATTGCACACGCTGCTACCACCAATAATCTGAAGTTGTCACCACCACACAGCATTACGCACACTAGGGCTTTGAAGGCTCAAAGTGCCATGCTTTAACTAGGAAATGCGAACACGTGCGTCATACAGGTAAATGGCAAAATGATCGCGACCGCAGTTTTTTTTTCTTTTTTGCCGTTAGTCTTCTGGGATTACAGGACCTATCCGGAGGCATCAGTTTTGCCTTTCGTTGTGCATGGCAGTGTGCACGCATGCATCCCCATTTGCAGTATATAGAAACGGTAGACAACTGTCAACAGCTGCATTCGAGCACGACGCGTCTTGAAACACCTAAATGCAAAGCAAGCAAGAAATTGTTGGAGATTGCAACTGCAGAGCTATAATCACCACGGCCGTTCGTGCCGGATAAAGCCAGCTTCGTACCACTGATCGCAAAGATTTTGTGTGTTAGCACTTCACCGCTTTAGCATCATGTGTATGCCCAAGTTTAGTGCTTGCCTCGAACTCAATGTCATGCAATGCCCGCTTGCACTTGAATTGCGAGGTGCAGCACGCCGAAATAAATTAAACATACTTTGCATTCTGCCCGCATTTCGTTTGATACCCTTCCTACTTCTATGAAGCGAGCTTGGATTGAAGGAAGAAGCTTGCTAAATCCTTGAGTTTCAGGGAAAACGTGCCTCAAGACCAACGAAAGAGGACGACCTACGCACGTTCGCTTGCGGATGGCTTCCTGTGCACTACCCAATTATGGCCGACACCGACACGGCGATGGGGGCGCTAGTGCCATGGCGGCGTTTTTCGCAGCGCCGCCTGGGCAGAGTCTGACGTCTACAAGCGGGCGGTAACTGGGAGTCAGGCGGTCGATGAAGACCTGCCAGAAGAGTAATGTAACGGGCCGGCGACGAAGGGAACAGCAATCAGTGCTGGAGTCTCCGTGTTTCCTTGAAGAGAAACATTCGGGACTATATTCAAGAATTTGTGGACAGGCATAATAGGTGAATATTTCAAGACCTTAAGTGTTTGGATGATTTTATAATGCATGAGATTGAATTTGTAGCACAATTGCATGGTTTTACTGTTTCCGTTGTATTGAATATCATCTGATTGATGATATGTGGGGTTGAACGTCCCAAAACCACCATATGATTATGAGAACGCCATAGTGGAGGGGCTACGGAAATTTCGACCACCTGGGGTTCTTTAACGTGCACCCAAATCTGAGCACACGGGCCTACAACATTTTCGCCTCCATCAGAAATGCAGCCGCCGCAGCCGGGATTGCATATCAGAGTTATATAGCAAATGGGCTAGTAGAATTTGCCTTTGTGTACATGTTTATGTAGGATGTGCATGTGTGTACATGTTTATGTAAGATTGTACTATCTTAAGTATGTGAAAACATATTTTGTTTTGTTGTCAACTCTTGGCTCGGACTCGGTCTTTGGATCACAACCAGCGTTTGCTGGCGCACTAAAGGGGCCTACCTTGATTTGTCCAAGCTCTCTTGGTGCGTTTCGGGAGGAGGGGGGGGGGGGGCGATACGCTGGCCCTTGGAATCTGTTCGGCGATTGTCTTTCCAACCACAGGATTAGAGACACAGAGGTAAGGAGAAGGTCAAGACTGTGCTTGTCTGTGTTTATAGTCGTCCCTGTGTCTGCTTTGCGCTGTAAACCTTCGAGTAAGGATGAAGTGACTCAGGAGCAGTAGCAGGGTGGTAGGCCGAGAAGCATGCAGGGAGTTTAAAAGTATATGAGAATTTTCTTAAATAAATTTAAGGAAGATCAGTCATAAGGTGTTGGCGCAATATTATGCACATACATTTTTGTGGACTTGTCACGTCTATCTCCACAATTTGCTTTGCCACAATTTAATCAGCATTATTTGGCTTTGTTAGGCATCCAAGAATGTTGCTTATGGCGGCCCTTTAAGAATTGGACAAGCTAGCTGTTAAAACTCCACCATGAGCGTAGTCAAAA